GACAGATATATATATATATATATATATATATATATATATGCGAACAGAGACTCTCATGGCTCTTTCTATGCTTTAATGCCACTACATAACCACTTAAAAAAAGTTAAGACAAAACACTAAAAAACCAGGCCATGCTAAGCAATATTCATTTGTTAACAAACAATACAATGACCCGCTAAATATCAAAGTAATTGAATACTCAATTTTACAAATCATATTCAAGCCAATGAAGTCTAATTAGAATGTGACCCCAGTAAAAACTAAAAGCAAGATAAGTTGATTCATTCTAAAAGTTTGTCTAACATTCATGAATGCATATGAGTCAATTACAACCCCAACAACAACCATAAGATGCAGATCTGAACGCGCAATGCATGGATCCCACAAATTTTTCATCATTACCGATTTTTTTCATCTCGATCATAGAATTGAGAAGCATAAGATGCGCCATATTTTGGAGCTATTCAAAAGCCACTAACTCATGAACTAATATTCCCATAAAAATCTTAAATTTGCACTGTAGTGGTATATTAACCAGATCAGCCCAAAACTTCTGTATACAGGTATCAAATCTTAAAAAGAGATGGAACAAAAAGTGATTCATTAAACTGATAATCCACATATAGAAAAAGACAACAAAAACAAAAATATGAGCTAAAAATATAAATGAAACAAAGAGTTTAAATAAATGAAAAGAACTAGAATACAAAGTAAATTAAATAGAGGCAGATGAAATACAAAGTATATAAAACATACAAAACCGAATAGTCGAGGTAACACATAAACAGTAAAAAAGTAGCTCGAGCAAAAACAGTGGAATGTTGCAGAGCAAAAACAGTGGAATGTTGCAGAACTAGTAGAATCCAGGTCTTCACATTTAAAAAAGAAAACTACTAAATCAACCACCGAACTAGATCTAGCTATGCCAGGAAAAAAGTTTCCAACTTTATAACAGAATGACGCTCATTAATGCCAGATCTCGCACAAAACACATCAAAATCCCAAAAACAACAACTCAAGCTCCATTACCAAAAACACTCTAAAACCTCACCTTCAGATATGGCGCTTTGAATTTCAGCACACTTCACCACTACATTGTGATCGTTCAAGCCCTCTTCCTCTTCAATCAAGTAATCAGTATATCCATTCTTGCTCTTACTCGAAGGAGCAGGCGCCTGAGGGGAGAGCTTAACGCGAGCAACAATAAGCCACTGAACCAAAGAGAACACTATTCCGATAACTGCAGCCACCGGAATAAGAATCTCAGCTAACGTTTCCGATAATATGGCAGCTCCCATGGCTGATTTTGTTTGAAAAATCGCCGGAAAATGAAACAGAGGCGAAATCCGGCCAAAACAGCCGATAAGGAGGGACGGAAAGTGAATAAAAAAAGTTAGGGTTTTGCTCTTCGCTTCTTTTTGGTTCTGTGATTCGAGAGAAGTTATGGGGAAGGTATATATAGAAGCGCTGTTTTCATGGAGAAAGAGAGAGAAATAAGGAGAGAGAGATGAGTCTTATCAGAGAGTTTGGAGAGAAAGAGAAGGTAACCGATAGAGCGAGAGAGAGGCCGGGGCCCCACTGTATTTGAAGGGAGCAATAAGGAGCATATTCTCGTGATATAGTGTGTATTTGAACGAATTTTCGTGTCCGGGAGTTTTAGTTTTTTTTTTTTTTTCTTGGGGGTTAGTGCGGAAATATGCCCCGAAATAGGATTAGGTGAAAATGAAATAATTTTCTGTCCTTGTTATGTTTTAAATGGCGGGTGTATCCTATCTTCCATTTTTTTCTCCTAGCGTATGGAACAATAAGCTATAAAATTTGGGGTTGTATATAATGAGACCAACTATTTGTTACACAAGGAAGTCACAATTATTTACAATCATCTCATGTAAAATTCGATAGCTTGGATGTATTGTAAAGTTAAAAAGTTTTTCTTTTAAACTTTCAGCTTGGACATTGAAATAAATGCATCCATGTAATTTTACTTTTAATGGTCAAAATTAATTCCGACCACCTTGTACCAAAAATAAATAATCTTGTTATATATTTTCTTATAATATAAATATATAGCGAGAGAGTTGGCCATAATAGTGGTTTCAGTTGAATCTCTTATGGTTGATCGAATAGTCGTTTTAGATGTAGTTTTAATTTCTTTTTTCGTTTTTTCTTTATAAGGGTCTGTTGACTTAGAGATGTTGTAACTAGTGTCGAATGAGTAATGAAATGTCGTTGTTTCTCGAAAAAAAAGAAAGAGAGACAGATAGAGAGTTGCTATGTTGGTGGTAAGAGGAAAGATTAGAAGAAGGAAACATCAAGTTGTTTTCAGCAACTAAAAAAGTCGATTAATTTGGAATCATTCAAGTTGGATCAAGACCAATCAGATAATTTTTTTTGTTTAAGGAACTCCAAAATCAGTTTTTTAGGATTTTTTTTAAAAAGAATATTTTTAGTTATGCATCTACTACATTCTGACTCTAGAATCTTCATTTAGATAGGATATGATTTAGAGCCAGGGATCCATGACGGAGTTGTTTTCAAATCGTTGTTCTCTCGTGTCGGACCTTGTTTTAACAAATTATGCTTTATTTGGGATTTTGGAACTTTATATGGCTTTTTTTTACAATAAGCTTCTATAATTTTCTCTCTCTAAATATTTTTTATATTTTTGGTTCCTCCACTCTATCCTTTCTCAACCAACCAGGAACTCTCTATCCACCAAGGGCAATCTAGTCAATATTCATTTAAAACCATCGAATTCTGTAACCATTTCTTGCTTTTTGTTTGTAAATTGCGTTGTCTTGGTATTATCTGGACGCGGATTTGAGGCAGGTCTTTGAAACGGCCTCGGAAGCGGGTGACGTAGTATGATATAACTTCATTGGGTGGTTCCGGCAAATCGTTTATTGAATGGTGTGCACCCCCTCCCAATGGATAACACGCTTTTTGTTTTCTCTAGCTTTTGTGCTTCCCTTTTGCCGGTTGCCCTTTGTGGAGAGGGGGGGATTAGGGTTAGGTTTGGTGGGCTATAAGCTAGTAGGGCTTGAACTTTAGCCCGAGGGCTAGGTTAAGGCTAATGCCGGTGTAGTATGGCCTCGGCTTGGCCATATTTTTCCTTATTTTTTGCTTTTTTGTATATAGTTTTGGATTGGCTTGACCCTAATAAATGGGCCTGGCCCGACCTAGTAGGTATAAGGGTTGGGCTATGGCCACGATTGGCCCAGCCTGTTGCCTTCTTTATTTTTGGGGTTACGCTTGTACTGTTGTTTGCAAACTCAGCCGGTCCAACTCAGAAGCGCCTAGTCAAGTTGGAACAGGGTACTGGCCGATCCAGTTTTGGTGGTCTGATTGGTATTTTTGAAAAAAAAATAAAAAAATAATACAAAATCTCAAAAAATAAATGTAGTTTTGGTGGTGTGATTGGTATTTTTGAAAAAAAATAAAAAATAATACAAAATCTCAAAAAATAAAGGATTTGTTTGTAATGTATTTTTGAATATTTTTTATCATGAAAATGATTTTGCCTAAATACTCTTTTTTTTTACATTTTCTTTTTTAATTAATTTTACACAAATCGATTTTTTCCACTACTTTTCAACTCCATTTGGATAGGTTTTGTTTAATGATGTTTTAAATGTTTTTTTTAGTACTTTTTGGACGGGCTGTGACCTGCCAGTCCGGCTAGTTGTTCATTTTTTTAGTCCGATTTAGGACTTAGCTCGTCCATTGGTGGAGAAGAGAAGAACGGGTAGGGACTTGGCCAATAATTTGGTGGAGAAATAGAAGGGTCTAGTGTTGGGACTTAGCCCATATTTTGGTGAAGAGTTGGGACTTGGCTCTCATCGTTGGTTGCAACGCCTTGGATGACCTCCTCTAACAAACCGGTTGCAATCTCCTCATGATCTCCTCTAATTAAATAGAGATGGGTTGTTGCTTTTTGTGAGTGACTTCCCAACTAAGTGTGAGATGGAGTATGCTTATTTTTTAGGTTTGGAGCTGTAATCATTTATTTTATTATAGCTAAGGGGTTGCAAAAAAAATTCTATAGGCCACTCTGTACACATGGTCTTGAGCACGTCTTAGATCTCGGAATCAGCTGTTGGGTCTGTCCTCCACTGTATGGTTCCGGATCAGACTGATCGGCCAATTTCGGATTGGCCAAATCATTGAGGTAGCAGAAAATTAAATAAATTGAGAAAAACAAAAAAGCTATATATTCATCTGCTTCACCATCTATAGCATGTTTGCTTGATGATTAAAACATCAGGGCCAAGTTTTGATTCCAAAATGGAACCGGCCTAGATGCCCTCCAATCTCGAACCGAATCTTTAGAACATTGCTCTCGAACAATGAACATCTCTCTAGTATTATAAAACCGGCGATTTCCAACTCGGATTGTCAATCTTGATGGGAATAACGAGGATTAAACTGGTTCTAAGATCGCATGGGTCTTAACACAATTCCCTTAACAAACCCCTTATATATTTTTTTTCTCCTTTTTTTCAAGCTTATCTAATTTTTTTTTTATCCCTATAAATCTCTATTTCAATTTTATTTTATTTTATTTTTTTAATATTTTATGAATCACCGATTTGGATTGTCGATCTAAAGATCCGACACAAATTTATAGGTGAACGATCTTGCCCCACTTATCCGAGTTTTGAAATACTGCTTCTCTCCAATGGGAAGTAGATAGAGGAGAGAGAGAGAGAGAGCATAAGCTTGTTAGTATCCCACGATTGGATCAAAATCAAAACAGCGTAGAGTTGAGATACCGTTCGATTTTACATACGATGAAGATGACATGGCCACTCTCTCTCTCTCTACAACAATTTATTTTCCTTGATGTTTTGTGGCTAGCTACTCTTAGCTAGAAACTTTTCACAAGACTAAAACCACCATAGGCATAACATCAATCAAGGTTGCAATAATCACTTGTAAAAGTTTATATGAGGGTGAGGCCCTTAACAATCAAATTAAGCCTAACTCCAAAATTCACTAGAAGATATTGTTTATGATAATTTGAGATGAAGATAAATTTTTAGACGAACATAAAAATTTATGATACTAAAACAACATATTTCGGTACTATTTGAAGAGGGACCTTACTTTAATTATTTAGGGCCTCGGCCTCATAAAAACCACACCCCTTCAAAAAAAAAAAGTTATTCTTTTCCTTCTTTAGTTATTGTGATTCTTGAAAGAGGGGTAGGGGCATCTAGCATCTTTTCCCTTTTCTAATGGAAAGGAAAAGGAAGCATCTCATCCCCTCCTAAGTTCTGCATGGATAAGCTTCACTTTTTGATGAGATATTTTTGTTTATTTCTTCTCTTTTTTGGGTAGATTTTTTCCTTAATTTTTTGGGTAGATTGTTTATTTATTCTCTTGCCCATTACACATGGCCATTTACTAGTTAATGTTAATTTAAGGGAAAATACACAATAAATCTCTTTATTTTTTGGTTAAAAAAATGTCTCAATCATTCTTGTTTTGCATTTGATGTGAAATCTAACGGCTTTGGATTGTATCGTTCACCTTGCATGAAAAATAACAAGCTCCAATCATCTAATTTGGTTGGATTTTACATTTGAAGTACTTGTGATCTCTTTACACAAAAAAGAAAAGTGTGGTTTGTATAAAGTTGAGGCCCCAAACAATCAAAGCAAGACGCACCTTTAAATGGTGTTAGAATTTGTTTTTCATTATTGAAAATATTTCAAATAGCTTGAAACTTTATTTTCATATCTAATTATAACGTTTACAGCTTCAAAAATAATAAAGATCGAGCATCCAAAAATACTTTACCAGCTGGACCATTTTCAAGACTTCAAACCTATTTTTTCTCATGTCTATACATCTCGAGGTCGAGATGATATAATTATGTTTATTTTTATCTTAGAAGAATATGTTTATTTTTCTCCAATAATATAAATTTTAGTCACGAGCAAATGTCTGTTTGGTTGTGAGAAAAAAGTTATTCGTGTTGCTTTCTTGCGGGCCCTCTTTATTCCGTTGTGAAACTCAATTGACAATTCAAGTAACCCACGCCTAAGAAAGTGAGATTTCATGTATTTTGTTCTTATATCATAGCTAGTCCGAATATTCCTTATATTCTTGTTTGTTTTGGGGAGAGAGATACAGATTCCATTCACATTCACATGTCCACACTTGGAGGAAAATGAAATTATATGGCCCACGGTTTGACCTGAACCATGGGCTGTTTGGGTCCAGTATTTTTCCAAGGTCGGAGGTCAGTCGAGATCTCTTTTTTTTTCACTCAACGGGGAAGGGATTCCAACTGATAGTATGAATTGGATTCAAGACGTCAGGTTGTGGTGCCCTAACACCCTGATCACTTAGCTTTCAACCTAATTCTACCTAATTCTAAAGTTAATAAGAGAGTTCCAATTACTCATACAGAGAGATAGAGAGAGGGAAGGAGAGTGAGAATCATATGAGAGATGAGTGTGAAGAGTCTCAGGTTTATCTGAAGAGACTCCTTGCGTCTACTTTTCATATGAATGTACAAACTTGTCTTTTATAGACAAATTACA